TGTGTGTGTAGTGTGTGTATATAATGCAGTGTGTTTGCATAGTGTGTGTATATAATGCAGTGTATTTGCGTAGTGTGTTTATATAATGCACACTACACAAACACACTGCATTATATACACACACTATACAAACACACACTACATTCACTATACACACACTCTGCATTCATTATATACACACACACTTTGCATTTAGTATATACAGCATTCACTTTACGCACACTACCCACACACTACACAAACACTCTGCTTTCATTATATACACACTACACTAATACACACTGCATCCACTACACACACTAAACAAATACACACTGCATCCACTACACAAAATCACATTGCATCCTCCACACACACTACACAAACACACACTACATCCACAACCCACACACTACACAAACACACACGGCATCCACTACACACACACACTACACAAAGACACACACTGCATCCACTACACACACACACTACACAAAGACACACACTGCATCCACTACACACACACACAGCTCCCCTGTCACACTGCATCCACTACACGTGGCATGTATATTTTGTGCATTTACCTTTAGAAAGTTTTATTTTCCAAAATGGTAAATGTACAGAATATCGGCAAATTATATCGGCTATCGGCCTGAAAGTTCACAGAATATCGGTATCGGTATCGGCTCTAAAAAATCAATATCGGTCGATCCCTACTCCATACACACACTCTGTTCCTGATACACATATACAGTGCACCCCACACCCACACAGCACCCCTCACATACACTCACTGCAGCCCTCACACACTGCATCCCACACACAGACACTACACCCATCACACACATTGCACCCCTCAATCATACACACTGCCAGTCCTGGTTTTGTGCTGCCCTAGGCAGGACAAAACTCAGGTGCCCCTCTCCCCCCACGCCACCCCCACCCAACCCTTCCCCCCGCCCCACCTTCTAAATACACACACACACAGTCAGACACACACACAAACAGTCAGACACACACAGTCAGACACAAACAAAGAGTCAGACACACACACACACAGTCAGACACAAACACACACAAATACACACAGTCAGACACACACACACACAGTCAGACACACACACACTGTCAGACACAAACACACTGTCAGACACACACACACCGTCAGACACACACACACACAGTCAGACACACAGTCAGACACACACACAGTCAGACGCACACACACACAGTCACACACGACAGACACACACAGTCAGACACACACACAAACAGTCAGACACACACACACACACACAGTCAGACACACACACACAAACACAGTCAGACACACACACAGACACAGTCAGACACACACACAGACACACACAGTCACACAGTCAGACAGACACACACACACACACACACAGACACACACACACACACACACACACACACACACACACACACACAGTCACACACACACACACACAGTCAGACACACACACACACACACACACACACACACACACACACACACACACACACACACACACACACACACACACACACACACACACACACACACACACACACACACACACACAGTCAGACACAGACACTCACAGACACACACACACACAGTCAGACACAGACACCCACAGACACACACACAGTCAGACACAAACACACACACAATCACTCACATTAACACTTTTTTTTTATTTAACCCCCCCCCCCAGCCTCCTTACCTTTGGGAATGCTGGGGGGGGTGGTCCAGTGGCTGCCGGTCGGGCTGCTGGGCGGGCTGCTGGGCAGGCGGCTGGCGAGGGAGCTCTTCCTCTGAGCGGTCTGCTCAGCTCCCTCGTGCGCCGCAGAGTGAGGCTGGGAGCCGGACTATGACGTCATCAACCCGGCTCCCAGCCTCACAGTGCAGCGCGCGAGGGAGCTGAGCAGACCACTCAGAGGAAGAGCTCCCTCGCCAGCCGCCCGCCTAGAATGTCAGTTAGCCGCAAGGCTAACAAGGCATTTGCCCTGGGCATTTGGGGGCGGCAAAAAAAGCCTGAAAAATGCTATCCAAGGCAAACGCCTAGTTTGCCTCGCGGCTAATACGTTCCTGCACACTGCAAAACACAACACACACTGCACCCCTCACACACACTGCACACTTCATTTGCACACACTGATCACCTCACAGACATACACATAGCTCCCCTCACACACACACTTCACCCCTCACACACACTACTCCTCCTATCCCTATAAGTTCAATCCCTTACTATAGCCACTATCCCGGCAAACCCCAGGTAAGGTGTCAAACAGTAAACAGTATGACTACTTACTCTGAGAGTGTGCCATGCCACTCCTGGCACCATGACCACTACAGTGAGTTGTAGTGGTTAATGTGCCTGGATTGTTCCTATCAGTGCCCCTCCCGATATTAGGTTCTGGATCCACCCCTGGCTGCAGAGTGGGAAGTCTGTACACTGGTGTCACAGATATGTTAGACAAAAGGGAAATGAGGGGCACACCAAGAACATACGTTTCTCAGCAGTGGAGTTGTTATAAATACCAAAATATATACAAAATACAATTTAAGGAATAGTGTACACAAAAAAATAGTACTGTTTAAAATCTTAGAAGGCTCCTTAAAGTCACCTGTCCTAACAAACAAATATGGGGATTTGATGACACAATGTGGCCATAGTGTGTATATTTGGAAGCAGACCAGATTCGTTTTGGGTTGAACTCACCCCTCTACTCCAGGTTCCCCATTTCTAATGACCCCAGGAAGCAGAGTCTCTGGAAGCAGTTTAAGCAAGTATTGCAGTTACAATGTTTAATTTAAATACTTCCAGTTTTTTTCTCACTAGTATTTCAAATCTTAGTAAACATCGGCCTTAATCTCTTTGACTTTAATTTATTCAGTGAAAAGAACGTTTCTATACACTTACTTTCTAAGTTTCTATAAATAACCCACATATGTACATAGCTAAAGAGGCATGGCTGTGTGTGACTGCTACAGTAATTGCAACCATATTGTGCTCCTTCGGAGCAGATTGTTGTTTATTAGTACTGTTTGTTCATGTGTTACAAGCAGAACTGGAATCACCGAAGTTCTCGATATACTGGAATACTGACAATAGAAATCTATAGCTATTATTCAGAGATTGGCTGTTTCTAAAAAACATCAAGTAAGTATGACCTCTGTCCAATGTGAATTCACCATGTGACGCTTCCAAACTTTGCTCTATGACTGCCAGTGCGTATACAATAATGCACACTCGTTATCTGTAATGACTTCACATTTACATCACAGCTGTCCCACACCCGCTGCCATCTCCTCTCTTTCACGCATTATATCTCAAATTCTTCCCAATTACCCCTAGTTACTCATCTCAAGTTACTATTCTAATTCATGAAAAGGCAATTATCCCACCACTTCTCTAAAAACACATCCCTTGATCCTGCTATATCATCTAGCGACCTACCCTTCTCCCTACCTCAAGGCTTTGCCAAACTTCTCCTCACCCATCATTATCAATACATGTTTTTGCTCAGGAGGGATTAGCAGTTGATATGTGATTAAATACTAGCAATCATCCATTACAATTACAGAAAAAAAATGTAAAACCTGATTAGAAAAATAACCGTATCTGCATTTCACAAAATAAAGTTTAAGAATGCAAGTATTACATGTGTGAAGCACGGAGTGAGCTGCTCGTGTTGACATGAGTAAGCCGGGCCCCAGGGCATGGGTGATATTCAGTCTCCTAGTTTGGTACAATAGATTTGGGGACACAATACAAATGCAAGTTAAACTTGCCCCTTTGCTTCAGGGGTGGTTGATAGCCTGGTACATACATCCATGTTTGGTAGCAGTGCATGGCAATCAAACCATTCTGCAATGAGATGTTATTAAATACATGCTTTCTCCAATTCTCCTGGAAGTGTATATACTCCCATAACCATGCTTGGCCCTACCAATCAGTCCTTGCAAAAGATTGAATTTCTCCTTTCGAACCTTGAAACTAGAACGCAGGGTTAGCACCAGTGCACCTTTATAATTCCTAATAAGGAAATCTGGCATATCTATCACATGGAAAAAATAACAGCCCAACTCCATTACACAGCTCAACACTATCAGAAAATATGGGCCCCATGGACACAGTTCTACACCTAACCGATAAACACACCAGCTCCACTAAATATTTATTCAATGGTCTTTCCTTAGCCATAAAATGACAACTGTCATCACATATTCACTTCTCGTTTTTTTTTATTTATCACACACACAGCACCCTCACACTTGCAGCACCCTCACACACACACCACCCTCACACACAGCACCTCTCTTGCGTACACACTGCACCCCACACACACACATACGCTGCACCCTTCATACATACACACAGCACACCCAACACACTGCACCCTTCACACATACAATACTTCCAAACATATATATCTACTACAGCACCCCTCACAACCACACACTACACCACTACACACATTATTATTATTATATTTGTACAGCGCCAACAAATTCTGTAGCGCTATACAGTGGGTGGACTAACAAACATGTAATTGTAACCAGACAAGTTTGACACACAGAAACAGAGGGGATGAGTTACCAAGAATGCACTGTATAGACATAAGTAGGCACAGGAACCCCCAATTGCACAGTATAACAGTTTTATTTGCCCAGCAGAAATGCACAAGAATGCACAGCAGAAAACCCACACAAATGCAAAAATCTTAAAAACGCTAATAAACAGCAAGTGCTTCCTGTATTCCAATTATTCCTGGCTCCTCCCTGTTGTTACGCATTTCGCCTGTCCACAGAAGGCTTCATCAGACAACATCACATGTCCTCTCCCTACCTTTTAAAGTCGTGGTTCTGCCCATACTTCTTCCTGATTACCTGTGCACACGGTTTCACCAGTCATGGGGAGTGTTAATCCAATGCTTTTAATTTGAGCCTTCCAATCAACCTCATACAAGTACCAAAAATCAAGCACATTTAAATGCACATACAAATAAGGTGTTTTAATGGAAGAGGTAATTTTATTTGAAGAGTCTAAAAGAGACTCTTCAAATAAAATTACCTCTTCCATTAAAACACCTTATTTGTATGTTACAATAAAATATATAGCTTGCAAGACAGTGAGATCATCTACAGTAATGCTACTCAAAAGAGAGATAAATGGAAAAAGAGCTCCAATATCTTTATCCACCTAGTGTGCTTTATAGGGGATTATCTACTAAACTCAGGTATTCACAAAATCATCCACAGGAAAACTAATAAAAGAGAAAGATCACATTCCATACCAAGAAAAAAAAAAAGAATATCACTGCATAAATGGAAAAAAATATATAAAAAATTATTAGTAGGGGATTATCTACAAAAAGAACCCATATACACATATACACACATTGTTTTTAAAAAGCCATTACGTTTCATCAAAAGTGATAAACTTTCTAAAAAACGAAAGTGAAATTTTGATAACGGTTTTTACTCCTATTTCTTTCTACTGCACTCTCTCCTCGTTTTTTTTTCCTTTTGTTTTACATTTTTAACTTCCTCCTCTTTATTTTTAAGCTTCTAACCCCAATAAATTCCTCCTCTACACCCAGATGTTGAATCTCTGAAGTTTCCATTTCATTTCCTTATTAAGAAACCTAGAATCTAGAAATCACGGGACCCAGGTCTGAAAATTGCCTTGTCCCCCATCCCCCCATACGTCTACTCCCCGCCACCCCCCCATGGTCTACCCTCCCATACGTTGCCCCCCCACACATGCAGACACACACATAGACACACATTTACAGAGACACACACATACATACATACACACACACAGACATACATACAGACATAAATACAGACACACACAGACAGACATTCATACAGACGCACATGCACAGACACACATACATACAGACACAGACACATACATACAAACACACACATACATACAAACACACAGACACACACACACATACAAACATACACACAGACAGACATACACACACACATACATAGAGACACACATACATACACACACACATACATACACACATACAGAGAAACATTAATACAGACACACACATACATACAAGCAAACACACACATATTCAAAATATTTTAATAACCTTCCTGTTTCTTACCTTTTAGATGCAGAAGGGTGACTTCCCTGGGGTCCAGTGGTGGCTCAGCCTGATGGGAGTCAGAGTTCCCTCCTCTCCTTCCTCACGCGCAGCTCCTGGTGGTTGCTGGGAGGTGGCTGTCACTTCCTCCCAGCCTCTGACCTCATCACAGGGATCCTGGTCGCGCTGTTAAAGTGCCACAGAGCTGACCAGGCCCCCTTGAAATCCATAGCCATAGGGTGGCCCTAACAGCATGGGCCACCCAGATCGACCCCTTTATACTGCGCGGCCCGGCAGCACAACACATGGCGGTGGGCACCGCGGTTGCAGGGGTACGCAGGGCCCGGTAATTCTACCACTGTCCCTTACTGTGCTTCCTTTAATGTTTCATTTATTCTCACCTTACAGTTGAACCAAACAGAACCAAACCGACTGCATCATGGACTCGCCAACTGACGATACATAACCAAGACAGGAATTGGCCAATGAATGCCCCGTTCCACAGCACCATAGTCACTGCATCAATCTGACGGCTGTCTCCCTGCTCTCAGTGTAACCCGATACAGTGCTCTACTTCATTTTATTTGCTATTTGTTTGCTATCATGGCTGCTATTACTCACAATTCATGATTTAATTTCTCTGTAACCCCGTGCAGCCGTACAGTCTGATAACACTGCGCCTGCGTTGTCATGGATACGGACCTTAGCCTCCTGGAATAGTCACTTGGATCCTCTCAGCCAATCAGGATCTCTTTAAGACATATGTCAGTCTTCCTGGACTGTGGATGTGCCTCTCAGCCAATGACAGGAGCGGTTGTAGCTGAGAAGCTCGGTGCTGAGTGCAGAGAATATAGCGCGGTGCTGCGTGCAGAGAATATAGCTCGGTGCTGTGTGCAGAGAATATAGCTCGGTGCTGTGTGCAGAGAATATAGCTCGGGGCTGCATTTAGGGAATATAGCTTGGTGCTGCGTGCAGAGAATATAGCTCGGTGCTGAGTGCAGGGAATATAGCTCGGTGCTGAGTGCAGAGAATATAGCTCGGTGCTGAGTGCAGAGAATATAGCGCGGTGCTGCGTGCAGAGAATATAGCTCGGTGCTGCGTGCAGGGAATATAGCTCGCGCTGAGTGCAGAGAATATAGCCTGGTGCTGGGCGTGCAGAGAATATAGCTCGGTGCTGCGTGCAGAGAATATAGCTCGGTGCTGCGTGCAGAGAATATAGCTCGGTGCTGCGTGCAGAGAATATAGCGCGGTGCTGCGTGCAGAGAATATAGCTCGGTGCTGCGTGCAGAGAATATAGCTCGGTGCTGCGTGCAGAGAATATAGCTCGGTGCTGTGTGCAGGGAATATAGCTCGGTGCTGTGTGCAGAGAATATAGCTCGGGGCTGCATTTAGGGAATATAGCTCGGTGCTGTGTGCAGAGAATATAGCTCGGTGTTGCGTGCAGAGAATATAGCTCGGTGCTGCGTGCAGAGAATATAGCTCGGTGTTGCGTGCAGAGAATATAGCTCGGTGCTGCGTGCAGAGAATATAGCTCGGTGTTGCGTGCAGAGAATATAGCTCGGTGCTGCGTGCAGAGAATATAGCGCGGTGCTGCGTGCAGAGAATATAGCGCGGTGCTGCGTGCAGAGAATATAGCTCGGTGCTGAGTGCAGAGAATATAGCTCGGTGCTGAGTGCAGAGAATATAGCTCGGTGCTG